AGTAGGTTGCCCAAATTTAGAGAACTAGAATGTGACAGAGCTGGAGTTCAAATTCAGGTCTGACTTCTAAGTTTTGAATCACCATGGGCTATAATTGCTTCAGCTGACAAATTTACCTTTAGACCTTTTTTTAAAAAAGCCTTTTGATTCAGTAATCATGATGATGGTAAACCACTGCTAAAACAATCTAAAAACAGAAAAAATACAGCATTATTTTATAATAGTGACTAGTTGCAAACTGTCTACTACCTAACCATAGAGAAATGGTAGAAAATGATAGTCAACAGACTGTTATTCACCTATTAAATCATGTTTTTTATTGAGTTTATAATGTGACAATGCATATAAGTGAAAAAGCTGAGTAAAACTGCTAGATTATCACAATACTATTTTAAAATGTGCATAAATGAAAATTAATATCTTAAAATATTAATAATGATTGTCTTTGGATATTGAAAATATGAATTATTCCAAACTCCTCCCACTACTTTATCATAATAAGATAAAATTCTATATATTAAGTGTGTGTTCCATTCACAATGGAAAAATATATAGATGATAAAATACAATGTTTTAAAATTGGCTTTGAGTTTTTCAGCAGCCTAGTGACCTATCTGTCAAAATTTTTTTCTTTAGGTTTATCATAACCTTTTATTCATTCAACAAACATTTATAGCGTGACTTAGTAATGTCCTCGGGGCTATTCTGGGTGTTGGTTATATATACAATTGTTGTATCGTTTATTTAACCAAGCCCCTGGGTTTTTTTCACAGCTAAATTGTTCTCATTTTTTTTAATAACATAAAGTATGCTGCAGTGAAACCTTTGTATACAAATCCTTGTCCACATCAATACTTATTTCCTGAGGCCAGAATCCTAGAAGTGGAATTAATGAGTCAGAGTACATAATCGGGTTCTTGATATACATTGCCAAATTGCTTTCCTGAAAGATATACTTTTGAATAATATAATATTGTTAAAAAATGACTTAAAACCATGAATGATAAACATTTTTTCATGAACAAAATCCAAAAAGGANAAGAGAATTTCTAGGTCCTTAAGTAAAGAAAGGAAAGAAGGTGTGAACATGTGGAAGCTGTGCTGAGGGACAGATGACCAAGCAGGCCTGTGTTACCTGAATGGCGACCCTCTGCCCTAACATACTTCTTCTACATGATCACTACCTTTTCACTGTACCCTGCCACACAGAAATGCTACCAGTGACCACTTGGGCTAATAGGCTTCGTTTTAGAAAGATTCCTGGATGGCGATCATTTTATTTTGCTCTGGGAATTGAACAGTCTCCTATGTCCTGCCTGAGCAGAAGTTGGGCCTGAGCAAAATGTTAATCATGATGCCTCTCTGTGGGCGGTTTAGCTCAAGATCAGGAAGGCTGTCTGAGAAGAAGGTGGGGGTGGGGGGCTCTAAAAAGCTCCGCTAAGTGGTCTGCAGGAAGCTCAGAACGCTGTTAAGAGGGAAAGTACAAAGGCCTCAGAATTTCTTGAGAACCTTAGTGTGAATCCTCTTAGACTAGGAGGTATAGAAGCAGAGAGAAATTTTATTGACCTGCTGTGATCTGTAGCACATTTTTCTTCCTGAAGAGGTCATCTTGACCTTTGTGTATCACATGCAGCTCATCTAACTGCCTTGGAAGTGGGAGAAAGCTTATAAAATATCCACTTACTGTTTTCAGTTAGGTTGACTACAAAGGAGTTGCACAGATCTATAGGAACATTGCCAAGAAGGCTCAATTTCCATGAGCCTCTCCTACCCTGGAACTGAGGAGTAGAGAAATCATTTCTGCCTCCTTCTCTGTCTACAGATAATAGGCTTCCTCTGGAAAAGTAGATGGGATGGGTGGGGCGTGGGTGAGGGGGAGAAGAGAGAAGCAGCAGAGGAGGAATAATAACAGTTCTCAAGTAAACTGACGCTTCTGAAAATTAATGAGGGCAACAAAAAAGCTTTTCTAATTTATTTGGGAGGTGTTGGACCCACTCCTGCAGTCAGCTGGCCTGATGATAATAGGAGAGAGATGGAGCGTGTGGACCCGCTCTTGCTTCTGTCTCCCCTTTCAAGGAAAGTCGAGTTCAAACTGCAAAGGGTAGAAACCGCATAGTTAAGAGAGTTGTCTCTCCTTGTTGAGGGGGTGGGATTTAAAACAGGATGTAGTTGACTTAAATGGGTTATCTAATATCCTTGATACTAGGCAGTGTAATGCTTTTTATATTCAGGAAGCATCTCATAACCAAAATATATGTAGTTAACATGAGAACCTGTTATTAAATACAGTTGGCCCTGTGTGTCCCAGTATTCCATATCTGCAGGTTCCACATTTCATATTTAACCAACCACAGATGGACAGTATTGGGGTGGGGGGACGGTACATTGTTGCTGATGTGTGCACTATGTAGTTAGGCCTATGGTGGTTGCTGATGGGTACTGAACATGTACAGACTTTTTTTCTTGTCATTATTCCCTAAACAGTGCAATAAAACAACTATTTACATAGCATTTAATTGTATTAGATATTGTAAGTAATCTAGAGATGATTTAAAGTATACAGGAGGAGGTGTGTAGGTTATATGCAAAGACTATACCATTTCATATATGGGACTTGAACATCCTTGGATTTTGGAATCATCAGGCATCTTGGAGCCAGTCCCCCACAGATACCGAGGGGACACTGTAACTGGTTCATTAGCCTCTTGATCATGTCTTAGAATAGTGGCAGTAAATATTTTGGCTTTGTGGGCCATATAGTCTCTTTCACAGTAGCTCAGTTCTGCCATTGTAGCACAAANATGAATCTCTTCTACTGTATCACTAATAATTTATCCTCTAGAACTTTTGAAGTCACCTACCTTATTGTAAAAAAAAAAGTGTGCACACTTCCCCAACATATTTACATTTATTTATTAATAATATATGTATAGCTTTTACTAATACGTGCATTATGAAGCATAGTATCAAAGAAGTTTTAAAGACGTGAGAGAGACAGGTAGGAGTCACAGGTGATTCTCTTGAACGTTCCTTTGGGTCTGAGTACTCCACCACGGAGATGACTAACATAGACCAGTACTTCTTGTAACTGTGGACTGGATCAGAATCGTCTGGGATACTTTTATAATGGATACTACTGGGCTTCATCTTAGATCCAAACAATCAGACTCGGGGGTTGGGGGCAGGGCCCAGGAATCGGCATTGTTCACAAACTCCTTCAAGTGATTCCTAGCCCCGCTAACAGTTTGAGAAGTGCATAACACCCTTTCATTATATTTGGGAGTAATTATTACATTTCTTTGAGTTTTTTGGCTGATTCTTGAAGTTGTTTCTCATGCGACAACATCTAGCCTTCCACTTCAACATCTAGTTTATTTGAGCCACACCTTCTACTTATATTCAGTGTTAACATTCCAAATGTGGTTTAAGTTTTAGTGGCATAGTGAGAGCATAAAGAACCTCAGTCTTCCCATAGGGTAGATGTAAAAAATTTGAAGAAGAGTGTAAGAAATAACTCATCCTAAAATTGAAACCAAAAGAGTAAAAGAAAAATGGATATGATTAACAATATGTGGAAATTACCCCAGAAAATAAGTCACTATAAGAGAATATTCATAAGTTGGCCACAAAAATGGTAGGGGTGAGGTCTTCCAAATCTCAGGCAGACCCAGATTTGCTCCCTAAAATCACCTGAGAGAAGGATCAATTTACAGCTTAACTGGTGTATCATCTAATGCATTATAACTCCCGGTTAAGGTAATAGTGAATGAGAGATGCTTTGATGTTGATAAATAGTAGGGAAGAGACAAAAGAAGAATTCTCCATCTGATTGTGGTCAGCCCTGGACAGAGAAAAGCTGCTGTAATTCTGGAGAACTCTTTCTTTCTCTTTGTTATTTAACGCTTGATGTTAGGCCAAGTAAAGGGCTGGGCTAGAGTGCGTCGAGGATTCAGTATAACCTATTACTGCTTTGTATCAGTATCCAAGTATTTGCTGAGTTTTTATTTGGAAAAAGCACTGGAGTTAACGTCCTAAGATCATTGTTTGCGTGGCATCTGTTCCGCTCTGTGACCTTTGGCAGGTTGGCCCACATGTTTTCCAGTCTGTAAAGTGAGGATGATAGTGTTTGCCATAAACCATTCATAGGGTTATTGAAACTCTGAAATGAAATGTGTTAAAAGAACCACAGAAACTGTGAAGTACTGCCTATGAGGTGATGAAGCATCAGAGGAGGTGGTTCTTGACAATAATCAAATTGGCTATTTCTTTTCTTCTTGTAGTGTGGACATTTTTGGCAACCTCTTTTTCTTCACAGATACTCCAAATCTAAACTTCAGGGCAAATCATATTAAATTTGCCACATATTCTATGTGAAATAAAATACGAAATAAAGAAAAGGCTCTTAGAGATGTTTGTTGCAGCATTATTTATATCTGAAAACAATGTAAGTCTCCAACTGTAGGAGAATGGTTAAATAAACTTTAAATCACCCACAAGGTGAAATTATGTAGCTGCATAAGTGTTTATGAAACATTTATAATATCATAAATATTAATAAAGAGCTTTTAATGATTTTTTTATATAATACTATTTCATAAACATAAAAACGCTTAGAAAAAATATATAGCAATACCCTGAAATGTCAATAATTTTCTTCTGAGTGCTGAAAGTGTGTGTAATTTCTTTTTTTTAATATATGCATACATTTATCTTTAAAATTGCCATAGGTGCTAAATATGGGAAGCTTTAGGAAACAAGCATAACATTTGGGAAACTTGATTATTTTTAATGTCAACAAGGATATTTTTAAAGTTTATATTATATGATATACATGTATAGCTCTGTGTGTATATGTTATATATGGATTATACTTTTTGATTTGAGGTGGAATGGACTCATGCAACCATCTTTTATAAGTGGTAAAGAGAATTTTAAGTCTGCAAAAGGTGAAGAAATGGTGGTTTTCTACAGTAGGATATTAAATATGGCCTTTGTTCTTTCTGCTTCAGGTGCTGATAGTCTGCAGCACAGGTTTGGCTGGGATTATGCTGCTCAACTACCAGCAAGATTACACAGTGTGGGTGCTGCCTCTGATCATCGTCTGCCTCTTTGCTTTCCTAGTCGCTCATTGCTTCCTGTCCATTTATGAAATGGTAGTGGATGTATTATTCTTGTGTTTTGCCATTGATACAAAATACAATGATGGGAGCCCTGGCAGAGAATTCTATATGGATAAAGTACTCATGGTAAGTACTTCAAATGCCCTCTACTACTTTAGGGGTAAAAAGACTCATAAAAATATTTTGCAAACATTCTTTATATTCAATTCTCATTATATGCAACGGAGTAATTCAGAATTAAACCTGTAACACTCATGAATGAGATTAATCTTGGGGAATTCAGGGAAGAAGGCCCTCTTGGCATGGAGGAAACCATTGAAAAGCCACCTAGCTAGAACAACACCAATGAATAGACCTGAGCTCACACTATTCCATGCTGCTGCCCCTCTCTGCAGTTAGACAGGTCTGAAATGGCTTTTTAAACCTGACTTTTAGTTCTTGAATTAGAACATTGAGCCACTGATGGTCTAAGTGTACTTTCCTGAAGTGGGGTTCAAAGATAAAGTCTTACTTCCCAGGTTGTAATTCCTACCTGTATTTCTCCATCCACCACCTTTCCAAATATTATTACCATCAACCCCATTAAAACTCACTATGCTAAGTATGCCAGACCAAGTGGATACAGATTAATAGACCCGAGACTGGTAGATTACATTGTTTCATTTTCATCACATCTGAACCTTTACACAGAAGTTATATTCAGATTCTTTATAGTTATGTAGTCTCTGCAGTTTCCCTATATTAGAACCTCAATGAAAACTTTTAAAAAATTTAGAAACTATACTAATTTAAATACTATTATCATCAATGTCAAATGCTACCAAATTAAAGATGCTTTTTAATGATAGTACTTGGCTATTAAGCTGTGGAATATTCCTATCTTAGGAGTGGATAATACTGAGGACTAAACCATTAGATAGTGAAATAACAAGCCATCTTCCAGGAGCATGGATTTATTTTAAATAGATTTAAATTTATTGATTTAACATAAATGTGTTAATTAATAAGCTAGATTCTTTTTTTTTCCCTCAATTACTAAAATACCAAACGATTTAACTGATCTCTTTGGTAATGAGTATCTCTTTTACCAAGAATATTGTCAACTAAATTTTGGACATTTTCATAATGTCTAAATTATGATTCTAACCAGTTTATTTTCATAATAGAATTTGACCTATGAGCATTGCATCTCTTGTGATTAAGACATTTAGAAGAGTTTGTTTTTGTTTTTTAAGCCACTGATCAAAAAATGAAGTAAAAATTACAGTTTTCCTTCTTTTAGTGTTCTTTATAAGAATGATGAGGATATTTAATGAAGACGTGTTTCATAAACTGTGACAGGATAGAAATGTTTCCGTAGGGGCATACCCATCTTACTACTTCTGACACAGGTTCTCAGGTTGTTACGCCCTGTCTTCCTGCTTTATGGAGTAATTTCAAATCCAGATCGACTTTTTTTTAAGTAGCTTATTTATGGTTTGGTAAAAACAGTATGCTGAGCTCAGTAGTATCAATGCTTTTGTTTTACCTTCTAGGGTTATTTTAAAGAGGAGGCTTATGGAGTGAAATGTTCTTGTTGTTCCATTTAACCATGATACAGACAAAGTAAAACAACAAATAACACAGTATTCTAAGTGTGGAAAAATAGCCTTTTAAAAAATATTGGGTATTTTCTCCTTTGGATGCAACTAAAAGTATCTCTTAACATTATCCTGAGATTGTCACAATGAATGGATGGAAAAAAGATTTCGTACCAACAGATTGCAGTCCATTTCCACAAATTGATTAGCTCTTGTGTGTGATGGTAAATATTATTTATTGCTATGGTTCTAGGCCATCCATGTACCAGTATTGAGTAAAAACTGTAAATGTTCTTTAGCATTCATCTACCAACCAAAACCTGAAAGGACCTAAGAATTTATGCCATTTGATCCATATTTTGCAGGAATTTGTGGAAAACAGTAGGAAAGCAATGAAAGAAGCTGGTAAGGGAGGCGTCGCGGATGCCAGAGAGCTAAAACCCATGGTAGGTGGAGAGGAGGAGGGAGGCAGCCTCCAAGAATTTCACTTTCACTTCCTCTCTCTCTCTGTCTTCGTTGACTGCACTTCTTCCGGAGAGGCTTTTGTTATCTGTATCACACAGGACATGTTGCTCTTTCTGTTTGTGTGTTTACCCATCACTTGGATGGCAGAATTATTGTCACAGCTGAGACCACCGTCTGTAAAAGTAAGCTGAAAGGAACATCATTGTCACAATGAAAAGTGGTCCTGGCAGGCATGGGGATGTTTTTATCCCTAAGGTAAAATTGCCATTTCTGTTGTTTTCTTTTTAACTGTCAGTGTTTAGTTTTCATGGGACTGAACATTTGGTTGTACACTTGAACTGACGGTTTGATTTGTATCGTTTTGGAAGGTGATAATAGCACTTCCTTTCAACTTGCTAAAATCCATATTTCCCCCATTTTTTAATATTGGTTTGTTTATGTTGCTGTCTTTTCCTCTTTGCTGACTTTTTCCTCCATTGCCTGGATTGTACTTTCTTTGTTTCTTAAGCTATTTTTCAGTAGTAAACAAGCCTTATTTCCATCAACACTCACATTTCCCACTCAGTAGGAAAATCTGGTCTTCTCCAACCTCAGCTTAATTGTGAGAAGGATGAATTGTCTCTGGTCGGTGATACATATATTCTATTTTCATTTGAAAAAAACAACTTAAAGTTAATCAGTGTAAGAGAATCCTGAGCTGCTTTTTCCCCTAGATATTCTCACCACTGCATAATAACAGATGTCTCTTGCATATATTGCTCCAATTACTGCTTATTTTACAAATTCCTTGCTCTTAAATAACATGTTTTTCTCAAAATATAATAAAATTGCCTATACCCTTAAATAGTTAATTTTAAATAATGTGCCTTCTGTTTGCATTTAATGTCCAAAAGTGGGAATACTCTTTTCTTCTTTATACTTTGATAAATGATTTGATTCATAGTGTTCAAACTTAAGAAATATTTAGTATAAAACAAGCCCATTTAAGTATGTAAGCGTAAAGGAAATGGGTTCATTTAAAGGGAGTGGAGGAGGCTATATGTATATGCAAAATGATTGTATATTCAACCTAAATTAAAATCTTAGCAGAATGTTTAGATATAAACTCTTTTCCTCTGTAACTTCTTCCAGTACTTATTTTGGTGTTGCTCTTAATAGCATTGATGATTATAAAGCAAAATATCAATATTTAAATTCCCAAGGGACAGATCCCTCTAATCATAAGTAAAAGGTTGTAGAATGGTCATATAGCTCTTAGTTTTAAGTGTGCATTAGCCAGAACTTGATTGAGGAATTGAGTGGGTAAAGGGGCACCAATCAGCAAGACTTCCAGTCAAGTCCCGTGCCTCCCTACCCCTTCTTCCTGTACCCCTCTTACTTCATGGAGGCTGAGGGGGGCTGCAGTGAAGATCCTGCCAACCCTATGGTGGCATGGCCGTTTTCTGTCTTTCCAGTGGTTGAAGCTTCCAGTAAATTATTCTACAGTAATCAGCATTTAAAGAAAGGGAGAAATATTTGGAGGTTTAGGACTAGCTAGTTTTACCAAAAATTGGCATGTGTTGGGTTGTAGGAAAACTCATGATGTATTTTTTCTGTTTTTCATTGCAAAAATGTGTCATGAGTTTTCCGACAACCCAATATGTTTGTATTCTTGAGGGAAGGATAGATGGATTGTGGTAGACCAGATGCAGGTATACCTTCCCTGACCTAAACCCCCAATTCATAGTTAATATAGCTAGGAGCATTCATAGTTAATAATGCGAGGAGAATGCGCAGGTGATGTGGCATTCTACCAGAAGCCAAAAATTTAGAAAAAGTAGGTTTCCCTAATATTGCTTTCAGTTTTAAATGAATGACCCTTAACTCAAACAATGCATTAAAATCTTCATTCAGTTTTTGCTTTTATTTTGTGTTGCTCATCAATTCGTTGCTTGCAGATTAACTGCAAAACCCTCTGCTTTGTCCCCAAATACATCTTTTACGTGCATTGTTCTTCTGGTGCTTTGGACATTGTAGCATTTGGTCCCTAAGAATGATGTTTTAAGTGGTTAAAAACTCAAGAGAGAAGCGTGAAGAAATGTTGCTCACAGGGTAGTTACATTTTTTTAGGCACATGAGTACCTCTAATTCTTATCTCATTTCCACAGTATGCATGGTAAGAATTGACCCCCTGCTACCACCACCTTCTTGTATGTGTCCTTGAAGAATTACCTGAGAAATACCCCCCTACAGTTTGGGAGATGGTAGAGTTTAGGATTGCTTCCTTGTATTTGCTTGGTTTAGTTCACATGGTGTTCCCTTAGATTAAGTTCTGTAAAAGAGCATCAGACCTATTTTGCCATATCTGTAGAAACACGCTGTTTGAGTTCCCTGTTTATCTTCCTCCTTAGTGGGATATTTTAATTTAGGGTTTATTTTTAGCCTATAAAATAATGTTCAGGAAAATGAGGTTTTAAATTTCCCTTTTGACGGAGGGATCATTGAACTAAATATAAGTTATTCCTGGTTTTCCTCTTTGACATTTTGAGACAGCCTATTAGTTAAGGAAACTTTGAAGGTTTGTGAGGTCTTGCTCGAAATCTTTGAAAATGCTTTTAGAGAAAGTTACCAGATGTGATAAAAAAGAGGTTTAAAAAAGAGACATTCTGGCCATCTGCTTGTACAGGGAAGAAGCTACAGAGGAAAGGAAGGGGGAAAAAAACAACAACTGGGCACTATGGCAGTATAGTCCAGAGGAGTATTCTCTGCATATCTCGAAAATTACCCAGAGAGCAGTGTGGTTTCCACCATTCATGCGAATTTCAGCCCCTGGAATATAGGTTCAGGGGAGGGGAGTCTCAGGGTATTTTGCTTTGTTGCTGTTTCGACCAGTTTTGTATTTATGCCGTCATTCATGATCTCATTTTAATGGTAATTGTCTAAGATTGTACTCTGTATGGCTTTGTTTTCTAGGCTTCGGGAGCAAGTTCTGCTTGAACCTAGCCGACCATTATGGACCCCATTAACATTCCAAAACAATATATACACGTAACTATGTATTTGTGTGTGTGTGTGTGTGTGTATATGTGTATGTATATGCACGCGCGCACACACACACACACATAATCAGCCAAAATCAGAGAAAAGGAACAGGGATTTAATACCTTTTTTATGCTTATTTTTGTCAAACATGTACTCCTTTCATACGGGTGGCTTTTACAAGGCAACTGCCGTCATTTACTGTTTTCAATTGTAATTGTCTTAATGGAAATGTTAAGATTCATATCTGATTAACATTTTTAATAACTTAGAGGAGATTTTAACTTTAGTTATTTCAATTAGGTATAATTATTGTACCGACTTCTCTGTCTAAAGTTTCTTCAGGGGTGATTTTCCCTGATGTGTGCATAAAATTCAGATCTTATTTGACGGATGCATACGTCCTAGTGGCACGAGACTAAGCGTATGCTTTCAGATAAATAAGGAATTACTCCAATCAGTTTTCCCCAATCAAAGAAGCCATGTCATTTTACGTTTAGAAACATGCAGGTGGGCCCGATATGGGAATTTTCATAACCACTCATGCATTTGTCAGCCAACATTAAAAAGTAACCAACTCCTCAGGTATTTGTAGTTTACCCTAATGCTTCTATAAGAGAGTAGGTAAAAAAGAAAAGGGTAGATAACCTTTCTTATGCAAACGTTTTTCTTATCGTTTGTCTTTCTTTCATTTTTGACTTGAGTAGCATCCTTCACACATTTGTGTGCCTGATTTGAAAGGAAGCGGGAGCACCCAGCAAGTTTAGCCTTTAAGTTTTTGCGTATTGATCTGCATATTAAGTAATGCTTGGAGGAATCAAGAAGGCAGAGAAACCGGGGAACACAAAGCATTGAAAATTTCAGTGCTTGGGCTCCTGCTTCAGAGGAACTTGAGTCATTTAGGGCTAAATAGCCATTTTATTCAAATGCGTGCTATAAAACCTGAAAACTAACTGGCGGGTGCTCCTCTCTTTGGCAATTTCATGAAATATCCAAAATTCTACAATGTTTAACTGAAGGATTGGTTAATGTTTTGATCCTCAAGTGTTGAACGTTTTTTGTTTGTTTGTTTGTTTGTTTGTTTGTTTGTTTTTTGGGGAATGGGTTATGGGGTTTTTTTGTTTTCTTTTTTTTTTTGATTCCTGAAGCTTACCAGATATGAATGGCTAATATTCCATTGTTCTGCTTATTGTAATGGTGAATGCTTTAAGAAAAAAACAAAAGTGTAATTTGCTAAGAATAATTCATGATCTGTTTATGCGATAACTCCTTTTTGTTACAATTTTTTTAAAAGAAGCTATTTTTGTTAATGTAAAGTAAATATTTCAGAGCAAATTTTTTAAACTTATTGCACTAAATACAGGCTCTGTACAAAAAAAAAAAAAAGCCTCAGCATTTTATCATTCCACGGAAGGAGAATCTTTTGAAAGAAAGCATTGCCTCCTACCAGAATTAGACAGTGAATTAGAGTGGTTTTATGGAAATGTGGACATTTAATGTCACTAGGGCTTAATAAGCAGCTGTTTGCTAATGTGCTTCCTTTCAAAGGGTTGAACCTTTAAATTGCTGCAAAAGGTAAATTGTATTTTTTTTTTTTAGGTACCCATTTTCTTTACTTTAAGTAGGCTAAAATTTGCTGAATGCCTTGGTTTCTTTTCAAAGCTCATGTAATATTTCTGATTTTTCAGAATATTTGCAATAAGAGTCTGAATTTTTTTTTTTTAACACACAATTAAGAGCTCATGTCTTGGCAAGATCTGAGAAATCAACATTGTGAGAGTAGCTATTTTGAAACAATAATTCTCCAGAAGTTACTACCATCTAACATCGCCAAACAGTATCTATACTCTTTTTTATCATTTGAAAGGAATAAATATAATTATGTAACTAATAATTATCCAAATAGGTGAGAGAGCAAATCATCTAAGAAAATTCAGAATACCTTCTGTTTCATAGCCACACAGATTTTGGACATTAAGAAACATTGGGAACTAAATTTAGGATTGGCAAAAATCTGGAAGATGGGTATCAAAACAGAAGACATTCCAGGAGCTAGCTATTTTAGGAGGTGTCCCTCCAAAGTGACCTGACGGAAGGCTTGACTTTGGAAATTAGTTTCTGCTCACTCGGACATCCCAACATCATGGACTGTTGCTGCTCCCTGATCCATATGCTCGCAATCTCAACTATTTGGAACCCACCAGGAATGCTTTCTAATTATCATTTGCAACTAGAACTGTATAATCAGAAAGAAATTTTGTATTTTTGTATAACTTGATTGTGTGCCATTTTATATAACAGGTCCTGTTTTACAAATAAATTTTGTTTTACTAACATTGTGTTTAGAAATTATGATCTATGTGTAACCATGTCATTTGAGTTCCAAATTAACTGCCAGGCTGTTTTCCTTAAGTCAATTTGTGTATCTATAGGCAGATACATGCAAGTATGCATATGTATTACACAGGCACACCGAGATATTTGATGTATAGACTATCACTCTCCTATGAGCTTCATCCCTTGATTCGTTTTATAAAGCCTCACAGAGGCTTTTTTTTTAGCAATATTTAAATGTTTTGAGGTTATGCTTGGATGTTCCTGCTGCCTCTTTCATCCATCGCAAGTCGTTCTTCAGCTAGCTATGGGCTGCCTTATTGCTGTTCGCTCTCTGCCTCCATCTTCTGCCCAAGTGAAAAGAATAGATGAAAAACAAAACTTATCTGTGTAATGGAGTTACCTGACTAATTTTCTAAACCACTGACTCTGTGTTGTGGTTTTGTTTCTTTCTGTGGTAGACTCTCAGAATTGCATTCAGGACTCCTATCTCCAGTTGTGGTTGGGGTCTTCTCTTGTAAATGGTGATCTCAGTGACCAGAATATCATTATGGCTTCTACCATCAGATAATTCAGGCTCTTGTGCATGATTTAGACTTTCTAGGTTCCTGCCTCCAGAGTGAGCTCTGCTGTAATATAATATAGACGGACAAAAGTGGTATTTCAGCATAAATTTGAGAGACCCATCTTGTGTGGGAGGCTTTAGGAAAACATTAGGAATTTAGGGCATGGAGATTGTATAATCCTTGCATGGATGAGCAGAGCTCAAAGCAGGTGATTCCTTTAAACCATTTACTGCAATGTTTAATGTTTAGGATTAAAGCTTTTATCCTATCCTATAGTGTAATTAAGTCCTAAATTACTGCAATTGAAGTAGCTTAAATGGGTGTTGGTCACCCAACTTTTTCCATAATGGTTGAGGAGGAGGCACTCACTGAGTCTATTTAAAAATTATGCTAGAAATAAGTGTTTTCTTTGTAGAGATGCTCCCTTCCTCTTTTTCTTTTTTCAGCAAAGGGATTAAGCTGCTGATTCCCAAAAGCACTGATCTTGCTTGGTATCTGCCAAGGGGCTCCCTTGCTTCCCCAGGCAGTTACAGGATTTCATCCCAGTAGGGAATAGTGAGATGACCCTTTCCTTTACCCTGGTCCTGCGCTGCTTTAAAGAGAGTACTGCTGCTCCAATCCCCCTCCTCCAAACAGCTAACAGAACTGCAGGCACCAAATATTTGTGGGGCCCTATCACTGCCCTGAGGCTTCAACCATTTCCAACATGCACCACTAGCTAATAAAGACCATTTCAGGAGGTTTCCCCATCTGCAAAATAGAATTCTGGGATCAGTTCCAAAACCAGAGTTGCCAATTTTATTATTTTTGGTCAATAACCTTCTCATTTGAATTTTGGAAGTTTCCAAGCAGCCTTAGCATAGCCTCTGAGAAGTTTCCTTCAGAAAGGACTTGAAGCTTTCACCTTTCCATAAATAAGTTCTCTGCCGTTTTTTTACTGTTACTTAAAAAAAAAAAATCCTCTGAGTCTGGAAGCTTATTAATGTCCCAGCCGCAGTTAATTTCTGTATTCTTTTTGTATATTCCATCTGACAGATAGGAGTGCCCTATCATGGCTTGCCTAGAGTTGCTAAGATGTGGTCTGTGAATACATATTGGGAAATGGTGGGTTCATAAGTAAATGCATAAAGTAGAGATTTCTGTATTATATATTCACAGCATAGAATGCTTTTTGTATTAAATGCATATTCATGTACCTTTGTGCACATGATGCATGTTAGTGCTTCTGAAAAGAAGGCCCCGTTCAGATGCACTGGCTGCTTTTGGAATGAGCTCATCTTTGTTTAATGGCACGTAGCCCAAATTCTGAAAAAACAGGAGACTTCAAGGTGCCAAGAGAAAATCTAAAGCTAGCAAACTAAAAACAAAAAAACTAAACATGTTGTATACACTTATAAATTTAAAATAGCACACTTTCCCCCATTCATATTTCATAAGTTTGAGCCAAATTCTTATTCTCCCAAGTTTTCAGAGGAAAATTTTAATCTAAGATTTAAATCTTGGAAAATATTTCTTATAACAAATTTCAATGCAAAGTTTTTAAACTTGAAAATTTCTGTGGAAAACCTTCCTTTTCCATAGAAATACTATAGTCCTCTTTCTT